TACTAGTATAATAAGAAAGGCTTATATGGGCCGGTCTGGTGCCCCTCCTTGAATTGGGCCCTGGGTTGTTGCCCAAGTCGCCCTGGACCAGGGCCGGCCCTGAGTTACACTTTCCAGAGTTCAATCGGAGTATAATCGATTTTAGCGACTGAAAATAAAATATATTTAAAAAAATTGCCCGGAAAAGTCATATGAAAAAGTAAAATATATTTATTTTAGAAAAAAGTGGAGATCAATTTGAGGTTCTGAATAGATATTAAATAAAATGTAATGATTAAAATTGATGTAAAAGAAAAATAATTATAAAAAAAAATATTGACTGGCAAGATTGTTGGGAAAAATAATTAGAAAATATAATTATTATTATTATTTATTTACTATTTAACGTGGTAGCTAGAGCGTAGAGAAAAAATGATATGAGATGAATAATATTTACTATAAAAAAAATAATTTCATTCTCAAGTTTAATAGCATAATTAGACAATTAGAGATGATATTCTTTTGTATCCAACACAGTACACTAATTTGCAGTAGTAGCAGCAGATCTGCTTGGATACAAATTATCTTAAAATAAATCTAATCATTTGTACCCAATCACTTTTTTTTGAGTAAAATTCAAATCAGTTTAACTCAACCTCACCGTACTCAATATTATCAATATAAGTATTATCTTTCCAAACACGACACATAAATGCTCTCACCTCTCTTACTTTCTCTCTCTAACCTTGCCCTCATTTTTTCCTTTGTCTTATATGTCTGACTCTCTAGCCTAGCCGCCCCTTGGCCGCCTCTCCGACGGCTCCCCTGGCCTCCGGGACACTGCCATTTAGCCTCTCTCCCCTGCGCTCATGTCTCCTTCTCCTACACCATGCTACTCGTGGCTCCATCTCCCGACGTGCCGACAACCCAGATTCTAGTCAGCCCCTCGCATCTGGAGCTCGACGTTGTTTTCTCCCTACCGGTTTTCAAACAAGCTCTTTTGGATTCCTGGATAAAAGCTTGTCAAGTGGCAGTACCACCGCTGCGGCCTCCTCCTTAGTCGTGGTCTCCGGCTCCCCCACTGCTGCCTCTGCCGGCGTTTGTCCCGTCGAGCAGGGAACAAGCATCTCAGTCGGGCCCTCGCCCTCATCTGTCGTCTCGAATCCTGTGCATCCTCTTATTTCTACCAGTCTCTCAGGCTCTCAATCTCAGTCACTGGAGTTTCAGTCGGGCCCGTTGTCCAAGAGCTCGTGACCTCATCTGTCTGCCCGTTGTCGCTTAGTATGGAGCCAGTTCTCGCAGATGGTGTAAGGGAGTCTTTTCGGGTTCAATTTGGTTCCCTACCACCGCCTTTTTGGCCGAACTCGCTCGTTTCGCCAGATTCTAGTTTGAATCTCACCTTGACCAACCAACTGACTTCGGATGGCGGCGCCCCATTGCATCCCAGAGACCCTAAGCTCCTCAGCCACGTGGTGCCCTCTGAGTTAAAAGATCCTTTGGTTAACTGTGACCCGTGCAAAGCGTGCGGAGTGGGTCGTCTAACTAAATCCAACTCGACCCCTTATCTTCTTTCTGGGTCGTCCGATTTTAACCTTTTTGGGCAACCCCCTAGGCCCAATTCGGCCCTTTCTCTTAGCCTATCCTACATCTCAACCACATACATTATTCAGGCCATCCCACCCATCGGACCGTCCCCCAAGCAGGCCTCCACCTCAACCTTTGAGCCGAACCCCACTGCGCCGATGCTTAAAGCCTTTCCCTCTCATCATGTTTCTCCTCTCCCCCCCCCCAACCCAAGTACAGAAAGCAGCAATTCCATCGTTTTCCTCCGGTGTCACTCCTCTAGCGACCGGCGAACCACCTTTGTCCCATGGACCGTTCGTCGGCACCGACTCCAGCAGACCCAACCTTTTAACCCTCTATGTCTCTCAAACCCACCCCAACCACCCTAGTGTTCTCTTTTCCAGGATGCCACACAGCCGCCGTCGGCTGGTACAGCACCCTCGCCGGTGACTCGTGGCCTCATCGTCGATGCCGGCGCCAGACTTTCGCGGCCTCCGGCGACCCCTTCACGGTGGGAATTCATTGTTCTAGACCCGTTTATCCTACTGGCCCATTTCACCATCAGCCGAAAGTTCGTATCCCCTCTTTGGAGCTTGTAGAGCTGTTCAGCCCCCGACGGGCACTACGCCGAGTCTCTCATCGGCCACTGGGCCCTTGTCGACTCTCTTTCTCGCGTCTACGGCTTTCCCACCCTCTACCCCTGGGGACTCTGTTGGGATCTATAAGGATCTCGTTATGTACAAGTTACGAATTCAATAGCAAACGTAAATCTATGCGCAGCGGATCTAAAGGTTTGACGCAGAAAACTTACGGCTTAAAATTTCTGAATCTGACGGATTCAGGTTGATCGGGATCAGGACACGAGGATATCAGGAACATGAACGAGTGGCAAGGATCAGTTGGTCGTGTCGTGTCGCGGGGTGTCGTCAGCGTTAGGGCTACAAACGAGCCGAGTCAAGTCGAGCATTGGCCTTATCGAGTAGGATTGAGTTTTTTTTTTAGCTGCTCGAGCTCGAGCTCGAGCTCGTCAAGCTCAATTTTTTAGGCTCGAGCTCGATTCGATAAAAAATTACAATAGCTCGAGCTTGGCTCGAGCTCGACTCGAAATCAAAATGCTCGAGCTCGGCTCGAAAATTAGGTAAAATTACCATTAAGCACCTATTATGCTAATATATATAATAAGGGGTATATTAGTAACTAACGTATATTTCGAGCCACTCGATAAGGAAAAATATAGGTTCGAGCTCGACTCGAGTTCGTGCTCGAGCCGCTCGAACTCGACTCGAGTTCAGCCAAACTCGAGCTCAAGTCGAGCTTTGACTCAAGCGCTCGCGAGCGGCTCGTGAGCCGCTCGACTTGTTTGCAGCCCTAGTCGGCATTGGGTTGCGAGGCTGGCGACTTCACGGTCGACGGCGGCTCCGGCTGGCGTCTCGGCGGTCGTCAGGCTTCTCGGGGTCGGCGGTCGCAACCTTCGATTCGTGGTCTGTCAGATCCGGGGTTGATCGCAGTGTCTCAGTTTACTTCGAGATCTTCTACTATATAACTCGTACACCTCTTCAACTTGTATCGGTAGAGCAACAAGAAGAAGATAAAGCTCGAACAGAAAACTTAAAAAAATATAGAGGCGCGAGCGTGTTTGTTTATTTCTCGTAGGAGAATTCTAATCTCTTCTTCTCTTTTCCATGAGATTAATGATGTATATATAGAGTTATAGTAGAGACCCTTAGAAGATTAGAAATAGGATTTTTTAAGTAATGGACTAACTGTGGGCCTGGCCCACTCCTCCAGTTACTTAAATAACCTTATGGGTCACTAACATAATATTATTGCATTTCTTTTTCCTAACCCAAATTACATGTGAGACTCCAATAATAATTATCTCCCAATGTTTAAGATATAATAATTAATTGGATTACTGATCATAATCAAGAATTAATTAATATATTATTATTTCATCGAAGCTAGCGCTCATTCATCACATTATTTTTATGCAGGAAATTAATCCACTCGTTCATCACATTCTATCTAAGTGCAAAACAACAGAAAATAGAACTTGTTTAATCTAACATGATTCTCATTCATAAAGGGTAAATGTGTAATATCATCTAAGCCAAACTTTTAGTATATAATACTAACAGTTGTGGGGCAGTTCAAGCGGTTCGAAATAATATGCATATCAATTTGGCGCCGTCTGCGGAAAATCCTAGTGTTTTTACCATACATAAGGGACTATCAGTGTTATCTCACAATTTTTATAAAATTTTGAAGATGGCTGGTGATAATTTGAAGAAAAATCGTGCGAAAGAGATGGATGTGGCGTCGCCGCAGAGGGCATTTGGCACATGCCCTTGAAATTAAATTGACTTGAAAAATGACGTGGAAAATACCAATCATGACACGTAGAAAAATTATCCGGATCGCTTTATTATTGGTAAGATGATGAATTTTTTTACTTATTGCACTAAGTTTGATGTCTGGAATTTTTCTAGAAAATGGCCAATTTAATGGACCAAAAATGAATTTTTTCTGGATTGACATTCCCCACTCATCTGCGCTTGGAAATTAATTTGGTCGAAAAATGACATGGTAAATACAAATTATGACACGTAGGTGAATTATCTGGATCGCCTGATTATTGGACAAATATGATAATTTTTTTAAATTATAGTACTAAGTTTGATATCTGCAAAATATTAGATCTTTCTTAGAAAATGACCAATATAATTGACCGAAAATAAAATTTTGTCAGTGTGTGCTCATCCCATAATAAAAGTTATTAATGCCAAGTGGAGGGTAACCAAAACATTTTATTCCGCAGGCATCCCCTGCCGTAAAAGCTATTAGTACAATTTATTAAAATCACAATTTATTATTGTTCGAGGTCTTTTAGGGGTGATTGAATATGAATTCAACTAGTAAAAAATTAGTTTTTTTTAACTATAATTAAATTTAGAATAAAGTGATATAGTTAGTTGTTAGTAGATATATTAAAATAATATTTAAAATAAAATAATTAAAATTGATTTGATATAAAAGTTGGAGAAAATAATTGGAAGTGATAGTTAGTTAAAATGATGTGAGTAGATAAATTATGAATTAAAGTTGATGTGATGTATAAGAATGATTAGTTGATATTATTTAATTATATAATTATAGAGATAGTAGAGTTGAGTTAAAATTGAGTTCAATTTGGATTTTGATTTAAATTTTTATTGTTGAAACTATATACACGCCCTTAACCGTTGGAAGATCCATTCCTCGTACATTTTCAACAAACGTACATATTTATATTAATTCTATGAAATATTATACTTTTCATTTTTTTTAAATACGTAAAAAAATACGATACATTACTTTAAAAGTATATTGAAAGTTTATGGCTGGCTTAACAATTATCCTTATTATATTAAGGTATATTCTACTGCCCTTCACCCGTCAAGCATCATCCTCGCCATTTTTCACAGCCTGCTCTTCTTCACAGGCCCCATCTCCTTGGCCTTGGCCCTCAACAAATGCTTCTGTATTTTCCCGGTCGCCGTTTTTGGCAGAGGCCCGAACACCACTGACTTGGGAATCCAGTAGCTTGGCATTCTCGACCGGGCGAACATCATTATACTTTCCGCCATCCGTTTCTCGTCTGAAGCATCCACACCCGGCTTCAACGTCACGAACGCGCAAGGCGACTCACCCCACTGCTCGTCGGGCCGGGCCACGACCGACACCTCGAGAATCGCCTCGTGTTGATAGAGAATATTCTCCACCTCGACGCTACTAATGTTTTCGCCGCCCGAGATAATCACGTCCTTTGACCGGTCCTTGATCTCGATATACCCATCCGGATGCTTCACGGCTATATCGCCCGAGTGGTACCAACCCCCGGCAAAAGCCTCTTCGTTCGCTTTCGGGTTTTTCAGATACCCTTTCATTACGACATTTCCTCGGAACACGATTTCCCCGGTCGTCTTCCCGTCGGGCGGCACGGGCCTCATTGTTCGGGCTTCCACGACGTCGAGGCCCTCGAGGCCGACATACCGGACCCCCTGTCGTGCAGCCATGCGGGCCCGGGCCTCAGGCGGCAGCTTGTCCCACTCGGGCTTCCACGCGCATATGGTGGACGGGCCGTACGTCTCGGAAAGTCCGTAAGTGTGTGTGACCTTGAAGCCCCGTCTCGACATCTCGAGGAGGACGGAAGGGGGTGGGGCCGCGCCGGCAGTCATGACATGGACGGGGCGTGGGAGGGGGAGGGTAGTTTCGTCCTTAGGCGCGTTTACGATGCTGTTGAGGACAACTGGGGCTGCGCAGAAGTGGGTTACGCTGAGGCTAGCTATAGACGAGTAGACGGCCTTTGGGGTGACCTGTGTAAACCGAACATTTTCGAAACAAACGAACAAACAAGGCAAATTGCATTTTTAGTCCTGTTGGTTTAATGTCATAGCAATTTTAGTCTCAAGGTTTCAACATTTCTGTCTTTTGATCCTATAATTTAATATTCTAATGCAATTTTAGTCCACTGAAATTGCAATAAATTCACAGATTTTCGATTAGCAATAATTAAAAATTTCATTGCAATTTCAGACTCAAATGACTAAATTGCAGCAAAATATTAAATGATAGGACCAAAAGACGGAAAGTTGGAGCCATGGGACTAAAATTGCTATGGCAGTAAACCAACAAGATTAAATTGAATTTTTGCCATCAAATAATCATATATTACAACAAACAAAAACCATATCAAATACAAACATAAAAGTATTCCACAATCACCTGTCTAAGGCAAATGCTGGTAGCACAAAGGGCAGCCAGAGTCCAAGGGAAACACCAGCCGTTGCAATGAAACATAGGCAAAGTCCACAAATAAACAGCACCTTCCGTAATCCCCCATACAATAGCATTACTAATTGCCATAACATAAGCCCCTCGATGGTGCAACACCACGCCCTTGGGACTCGATGTTGTGCCCGAGGTGTAACCCAAAGCAATGCTATACCACTCGTCCTCCGGAGGTTTCCACTTGAATTCCGGGTCGCCAGTTTCTAGAAACTTCTCGTACTCGATTGCTCCTCTAGAGAGCGCGTGTTGGAGGGACTTCGGGTCGCAGTTTTCATCTCTGACGACGATTAGAGTCGGGGGCTTGAATTCGCCTCTGCTTTTCTCCGCTATGATTTTCAGAGCCTCCTCTGCCAGGGAATAGTATTCTTGATCGACCATTATAACGTTCGAATGTGAATGTCCCAAGAGAAAGGCGACCGTTTGTGCATTCAGACGGATGTTGATGGCGTTTACAACGGCACCAGACATGGGAATCCCGAAATGAGCTTCGAACAGTGCTGGGACATTGGGCGCAATGACTGCTACCTATTTTTCGTGTTCATTAAAAAAAGGAGAGCGTTAAGAACTCAATGAAAAGTGCATGTTTATACGGAAGATGACATGCTAATGTGTCCTTAAGAGCAAACTTCGAATTACAACATCTGGGGTGGTAAAGACATGTTCATGTTTCGTAGTATCAGAAAGCGGCAGGTATATCATAAGCAGCCGAGAAAGTTAAAATATGACGGCAACATACGGGAGCAGAATTTTAGTTTGTGTATGCACTTTTGTTCAGGGAGTACAACGAATCGAGTCTAAAATTTGGATATGTAGATACTTAGACTACCCAGCATGAAAGGGATCACCTATCAAAAACCCAACATAAAATTAAAACAAAAAATATCGTGCTTTTGAAAATTTGGAATCACAATCAAACCAACCATCACGAAAAGCGCTGATCGATGGGAAAAGCGAACAGAGTTTCCAACATTCTCAAAAGCAGAATACAAAATGAAATGATTTTAAAGGATTTAATCAAATCTACCATTTTAATTATCAACTTAACCACACAAACTACAAATCTACGAAATAAAATCAATAATCGTCCTCAAAATCCAAATCCCCGAAAAAGGGATCACATCAGCCATTAATAATCAAAAGAGTACACATCATCTGATATGAACAACTGCTTGAATTATTCAAAATTATGTAACATCGGAATCACTCACAGTGCTTCCGGAAGTGACGGAGAGCTTGGTGAGGGCCGACGCCAGCTGGCGGCACCGCCGGTAAGTTTCCCCCCACGTGAATTTGACGGAGCCATGGATCAGAGAAATTCGGGTCGGGTGGACCAGCGCTGCCCGATCCAGGAACCAGAGCGGCGTCAGGGGTGTGTTGTTGGCCGGATTCCGGGGCAGATCGTCTATGTCTCTCGGTGCGACCGCCATGGCCAGTGTGGTTGAGTCACGTACTGAAGCTTTTTGTGAGTTGATAATGATATGATAATAATAAATATATGTGAATTGTGTTGCCTTATATAAATGCACCAACTTTTCCAAATTTCGTCATTATATATGTATCGATTTTGATGGTTTGTAAGTTTGTGTATAAATTTGGAGTCAAGTTTTGGCTATGTCTCAATTTCTAAATTTGGATTATAATGTTGTATATTAAATATTAAGGGTATGTTTGGTAGACAAATAAGCTAGCTCAAGGGCGTCACGGTTAAATCGGGGGCCCAGTGCGAAATTCCAAGATGGGCCCCTTGTGGATTGGCGGTGGGCAGCGGCCGTCCCGTCACGAACTGAATTGGCGGTGGGCAGCGGCAACGCAATCAATGTTGTCGGCAATCGGTTGATCTTCCTCTAATTTGGGCCTTGTTTTGCTAAGCAATGAGCTGAAAACTCATGAAATTGAAGCCTTCTATATTACCATACATAAGATATACTTTATATTTTGGGGGCCCTTCAAATTTGGGGGCCCTGTGCGGTCGCACAGCCTGCACAGGCCCAAGGACGCCCCTGAGCTAGCTTATAGCTTTTAGTTAGCTTATAAGTTTCCTATATTCAAAAATAGGCAAAATTGCATGAAACTTGTTAAAACCCAAAATTCGTGCCCAATTTGGGCACAAATTTCAAATTTTAACAAGTTACTGTCTTGTTTTGCCACATGAAAAACCGGTCAAATTTGGTAACTTATAGGTAAATTGGGCACGAATTCTAGGTTTTAACAAGTTTTGGGGCACTTTTGCCAAACCAAAAAGAAGCTGTCCACATTTGCCACACACGCACAGTTGCAGGGCACAAAATACAATTTTGCCTACTCAAATAAGTCTCGTTTGGTAGGACGAGTTTTTTTTTAAAAACTCGAGCTTATTTGATAAGTTTCCTTAGGTAGCTTTTCAAATAAGCTAGTTGAATTTTTTATTCCAGCTAGCTTATTAGCTAATTTTACCAAACACTTTTATCATATAAGCTAGCTTTTCAGCTATAAGTCATAAGTTATAATGTATAAGCTAAAAAATTACTGATAAGCTATAAGCTAGCTTATCAGCTAGTTTTACCAAACATAACCTAACTAGTATGTAACCCGTGCGATGCACGGGCTGTATTTATTTTTGGAAAATATTAAATTTGAAATGTATTAATAAATAAAAGAGTGATAATTCATAGGGAAATTGTCAAATAATAACATGTTCCTCATGAAAAAAAAAAATATATTATTAAAACTTCATTATACACAACAATATGTGTTTGATAACTAAGCAACTTGTTGTTCCCACAAACTAATATTTTCAACCATTTTCTATTACTTACACGCGAAACAAACAACATAATTGTATGTGACTAAAAATCGATTTGTTTAAGAACATGCCAACGTAGAATAAAGGTTGACTTTGACTCTTTTTTATTTATTACTTACACGCGTAACAATAACAGATAATTGGTTGTGACTAAAAACCAATTTTTTTAAGAACATGCCAATACACGACTTTTATCTATTACGTACACGTGAAACAACAACATATAATTGGTAGTGACTAAGAACCGATTTCTTTAAGAATATGCCAACGCACATAAAGAATGACCGTGACTCTTAAATGGAACACTAACATTATAAGGAATTGGTGCTGATGGAGCTTAAATGTAATCCTTAGATGGATCTATTTATAATTTTACTTAGGCAACCAGTACTCCCAAATTTTCAACCAATAGAACCAAAATTGCATCAAAAGACTATTGAGAAAGAACTTATACTCACGAACACACTTAAAAATGGTGATAATATAAACAAATTATACGTCTTAAAATTGATCTCACACAAGACTGTTGAAACATATTTAGTTTTTAAAATTAAAAATAATTGGTCAAACATATTTAGTTTTTCGCTCACTCGATTTTAAAATAATTTAAAACTTATTTTAGGAATTTACGAGCTAATTTTTAAATATTTATTGTCTTTGAGACATACTAGAATTCTTCGAAATAATTCTAAGTATGAAACTACAATTTGACTGAATTTTAAATAATTCTAGATTATGATAATTATGAGGGCGCTTAATACAAAATTCTCAATCATTTTTTTTTTTTTTGAAATAATAAACTTTATGCATCAAAAGGGAAATTTACGAAGTGAAACCGGAAGGCTAACTAGCCATACAAATTCACCAAGAAGGTCAAAGTTCGACTACATGTTTAAGAGAAGAAAAATGCTATAGGTACATAATATTGTACATACGGTTGTACATAAGGGCATCCACAATGGTGCATTAAATCAATCCATTTAAATGTACAATTAATGTTCAACCGATGGGAGTCCATTCATTTGATGGTGAAAATTAACTGGCCCACCACTACCAT